CAGTACAGCCCGTGCCCTTCTGCAAATCCCAGTCTGTTGGCACCTTCCGAGAAAGAGGAGAGATACCTCCTGTCAGACGTTTGCCATGCCGGGGGGGCTGGGATAGGTACTTGAGCAGCCAAGCATGCAGTCCCATACCTGAGCCGTGCCCTCACCACACCAGCTCCACCGGCAGCCCACGCTCAGCTCGTGACACAACTGCCGTCAAAAGCCCGTGGGGGCACAGGACAGTGTGCCCCCCACACTATGTCAAGGGCACAAGAGACGGGGGCTCTGAGGCTCCCCATCGTCGCCCTGGACACAGCTAAGAAATGAGCAATGCCCGAGCCCAGCAGGCTGAAACAGGGCCAGCAGCCGCGCTCCTGGCAGAGGACAAGGCAGATGGTGGAGAGCTCGCGAGTGAGCGCAGCCCGGGTGCCCTGCGTGGAGGCCGGCGTTTACCGCACGAGCACCCCAACGGTGTGCAGTGTGGCTCAGAAAACTGGGAGCGAGAGGGGAGAAAAGACGGTGTCAGCAGCTCTCCTCCCCAGCAGTCTGGGCCCCGTGGCCGGTCCTCTCCTCCAGCACCAAGGGCCCTCCGGGGCACCCGATTATTATTTACCGAGGACAGCAAAAACCTTCCGCGCCTCAGGACGCCTTTGGCCGGGCTGAGCTGACCGTCCTGGGGGAGAGAGGAGCTCACCCAGCCCCTGCCGTACTGCTGCCACGGCAATTACAAGGGTGCTTTGTGCAGCCAGCAGCGCCTTCCCCGGCTCTGCCAGGCAGGCAGCCCAGCCCGGCGTGTCTCTCCAGCGCGGTCTGCCCCAGGTGAACAGATGGGAAAGCCTTCCAGCAGGGAGAGGGGTGTGAGGTTTGGCATAGAGCAGGAATCGGAGCACGACAGCCCTGGCAGGGGAGAGCACTGCGGCACGCACTGCTGGGCCGAGGAGCTGGGCTTCTCTGCACCGGGCCGGGGCACGCAGCAGCCTTTAAAGGGGCCCGCAGACACTCACGCTGCACTTCACAGCCCTTCCCAAGAGATTTGCTGTGTCGAAAGGAAAGGGAGGGACTGCGGCCGAACGCCCGTGGTCCCTCGCCCAGGAACTCCCCTCCTGCCTCTCTACGACCACAGGGAAACGCGGGCAGCGAAAGGAGAGCTGGGGCAGCGGGGCAGCACCCGGTCCGAACACAGCACGCCAAGGCCAGAGCCCGGAGTCTGACCTGCCCTGTACAAGGCTTTCAGACAAAATGAGAAAGTTCTCTGGATGCCCAAGGATTCCCCCGCCAGAGCAAAGACACGGGGAGGTGGACCTTAACCCCCCGCCTGCACGAACCACATCTAATCTGTCTGTCTCCCAGCTGTCTCCTCCGCACGGGCAGCTTCCCCCAGGCCAGGAGGGAGGAATTTGCAGCACATGAGCTTTCTTTCTCTCTGTGGTTGCCGAGATCAGGCTGGGAGACAGGAGGGGCAGCCAGAGATCCTATCGTCCTCCCTCAGCCAAGAGCAGAACCAAAAAAAATTACCAGCCTGGGGAGAGGGTCAGGGATTAGCTGCTGAAAAGCCTGGAAATGTTTCCCAGACAGATCCTGGCCAGGACATGGGCACCCCGCAAAAAGCAGTACAGGCTGGGAAGGACACCACCGCAGCTCCCCAGCCCAGAGCTACCTGGGAGCGGGGATGCAAACTGTCCAGCGCAGGGCTGAGCAGAGCGGCTCAGGCAGCTTCTCCCCAGGGCAAGGGCAGGAAAGCACCTTTGCAGTCACTGTTTGCACAGCATTTTGCTAAGGATAAGGAACAGCAGCTTTACATCGGTTTGGACCACGGACGGTTGCTCTGGCCCGTGGGACCAATAGCCAAGGCACAGCAGGGTCCCACGCAGGCACTGCCCCCCTCGCCCCTGCCCACAGCCAGCTTGGCCACAGAAGCTGGACCAGCTCTTGCGAGAAGCTTCCGATTTCAGTCAACATCCCTGCGGCCTCTGGAGGTGACACCTCTGCTCCCCATGCACGGAAACCAGGTCCAGCTCAGGGAGAGGCACACCCCCTCTCTGAACCTGAATGCCACGAATGTTCTCCAGGGTACTCTGGACACACGCACAGGGCCTTAGGACCAAAACTCCAATTCAGAGGAGCTGCTGCTGCTTAAGGCAGCCGCTACTCAGAGGGACCTCAAGCTCGCCATGAAGAGTCCCAGGAGAGCCTCGCTTCAGGGACAACGCAGCCCAGTTGAGAAGCAATGGATGCAGCGAGTTTCCTTTGGAGAGAGAGCGCACTTGGGCCTGAACTAAGCAACTTTGGGGGAAACTCACGGCAGTTACAGTTTGGGACCTTCCTCATCTTCACTGCTGACCACAGTGTCACCCCTACAGCGGGACCACACGGGACCGTGCAGAGCACACAGAGCCTCAAAAGAGGCATGGGGGGAGTCCCAAATGACGCCACCTCACTGCAAACCGAACGTGTCTGTCCCCCTGTGCTCCCCACGGGGAGACAGCCTGCGCTGCCAAAACGCGGTAGATTTTGTTGCCTTCTATGCTTGACTCCGTAACATCTTGCCAGCTGTTAACAGTTCCAGCTTGCGCTCGGATGCTGCATGTCCTACAAAGAACACCCCGAGCAGCATAAACTTTCAGTAGGAAACGCAGCTAGCGCCAGAAGCCGTATTAAATTCTTCCCATTAAGGAAACCACACAAAGTTTATAGTCTGGTAAAAGAAAATAACCCAGCAGATGGCTGCTGAGAAGTTAACTCTGACATCACTGAAGCACAGTTAAAGGGCATTTAGGAGCAGACCATCCTCCAGGAAAAGCAGCGTGTTAAGTTTTAACGTGGCATGGGCTTGCTAAAGGAGCGATCGCGGTACTGCCAAAGGAACAGGACGGTGCTCTGGCACATGCCATGCCTAGGCTATGCGTGGCATCTCGCCAGCTCCCGTGTTAGTGTCCCATAAGGCCAGTACTCAAAACGAAGGGTTGTTTGAGACCTTCAAAGCGCTTGCACCAGCAGCAGGCGTGGGGGAAGCTGGACCTAAACCCCAAAACCCGTAACTCCTGGTGAAAGTGCAGCAGATCACTTGCTTGGTTGCCGTTTCCTTTTTTCCTAGCATCAATAGTTTCCAAACCAGCTTGGGACAATGGAAGTTATTTCTGAAAGGAAAAATTAGCTCCATTTGGGTTTTACTTTCCTCGCCACATGAGCCGAGCCACTGCTCCAGGCAGATTGCACCATGCTCTAGTGAGGCACGGACTCCTGCCCCGGTTCTGGGCTGCAAGAGGAGCGTGCTGTTTCCCAACCAGCTGGCTGAGGAACCCAGGCTCTCTCTGGGCCCCCGGTT